GGTCGCGGGGGGCGCTGGAGCCTATCCCAGCTGTCATAGGGCGAAAGGCGGGGTACACCCTGGACAGGTCGCCAGTCTGTCGCAGGGCCAACACATAGGGACAGACAACCATTCACACCCATTCACACTCGCATATTCACACCTAGTGACAATTTAGATTAATCAATTAACCTATCCCCACAAGTGCGTGCGTGCGTGCGTGCGTGCGTGCGTGTGTGTGTGAATTAAATAAACATTCTTACCAAATTTAATTTACAGCCAAACACAGAAACTATTGTCTGCAGCTGCTGCAACTTCAAGAACATTAAAGTGTGTTTTTTGTTCACTGTCGAATCAGATTCTCTGATTGTGCTAACGACAGCTGCGTGTTTGTCTGCATCACATCAACATGAAGCATCTAAAATTATGAGACTGTTTCAACATGTAAGAGAAAAATCCTTCTCACTCCCAGTTTATCACATACTGGCTCTCATTTAATGAACTGGGTTCTCCTCCGCATCAGCAGGCAGGTGGGATGGCACTGGCGTAGACCACAGGACAAGTTTGGTCTTTGGCCGTTGGTTTACTTTCGTGAAGAGGTTGTCCTCAGTGATCGTTCTGTGATATTTTTGTGTAGCTCAATCTCCGCCATTCTTTGCGCGTGAGGGGGTGGGGGGGTTGGTGCACTGAAACAAACCAAAGAAAAACTTTTAAAATTTAAAAAGCCACCATGGTCACACCAAATTTGGGTTTTACTTTATATTTTTAACCTTTAAGTCTCAGTTGGAGCGGTTAAGCTGCTCCTATTGTCCTATCCTTTTGTTTGTGTCCTGTGGAGGACGGACTAATCATTTCAAGGCTGATGGAAGCCACAGTTCAGACTCTCTATATGTTGCCTTTGTCTTTATTAGTCTGATAACTCTGTTCACCTTCATGTTCTTTTCTTGGAACCTGTCCTGGAAACCAGCCTGCTTGAATGTGGCCATGCCTCCGTAAGCGCCATCAGCCACTCTCTCCTGCCTTGGTCAGCTTCTCTGTTCTCTGCAGAGGAAACGGCTCAGCTGCTTCCCACTCTCCACCTGTGAACTTCTATTCACCTTGGGGGTTTTTTTTTGCCAGGCCAGTACTCCTCCTAGACTCCAATCCTCACTCCTGGCAAGTAAGACTTTTGCCTTTGATCACAAACAACATGCAAAAAACCAACCAACCCCTTCGTGACCATTTGGAAGCTTTTACTCCAGTAGTGCTCCTGGTCCAGCTACTTTGGAGAACTGGTTTTATACAAAGACTTTTGAGTTTCAAACATTTCAAACTGCCGACAGTCTGTTATCTGAGTCTGTGTTTAGCTTAATTATGAAAATTGTAATAGAAGCTGAAATATCCTCACCTAAAGATGATTAGTGTTATTGAACTGCTTTGGTCAGAGTTCCTTATTCTGTCTTTCCATTGAAACCATGTTCAGATGACACTTTAATCAGAGGCTTATCCTAAATCAATCTGCAGCCATTGTTCACCTGTTACACTCATGCCCGTGCCTCAGTAACAGAACATTGCTGACTAAGCAGTCCTGCAATTGTGGCAAACGTGGCATCAGACCAACACGACAGAGTCAGGAGTCAGACTGTTATTCTAATCACAGAGAGGGTTTCTCAGAGTCAGATCATGGCTATACTTATAGCAGAAATCAGAGAAGAGAACTGAGGAATAGGAAAGGAACTTCATCCTAATAACACAGTCTGCTAAAGAAAGGAGCAAAGACTGACTGTTTGCTAGCTGAAGCAGCTTTAAGGTGACGAGGATGTCTTTAGTGAAAAAGCATCATCATGAGTTGATTTTGAAACAAAATCAAATCAAAGAAAAAAATCTTTTAAAAATATGGTTCATGTTCTAGAAACCAGTCTGAGCTTTGAGACACGGAGCTTTGTTATCCTACTGAAGACACTGCACTGAGGTCATAAAAGATGGGCGTGGTCAGCAGCAGCACTCGGGCATGCTGTGGAGCAGCAGCCTGTACACTGACACAGGCATGATGGCTCCATGTTTTAAACGCCGAGCTGACCATCTGAGACTCATTAGACCACAAAACGTTTTTGTGAGTCTGTGTGAGCTGTAGCCTCAGTTTCCTGTTCTTAGCTGACAGCAGTGGCACCCGGTGTGGTCTTCTGCTACTGTTGTCATCAGCTTGAGGGTTCAGAGATGCTCTTCTACAGACCTCAGTTGTAACAAGTGCTATTTGAGTTTCTGTTGCCTTCCTATCAACTTGACACGGTCGGACCTCTGCCATCCACAAAGCATTTGTACTCTGATATTTGTATTAACGAGAAGCCGAACAGGTGTACCTAATGAAGTGGCCATTAAATGCAAACCGTATGACCTGTGATGCCTGGTGTCCACATGCTGTGGTCGGTGTTTAAGTGAAGCCACGTTACCTTTTCTGGTTAAAATGCTGCTGCCAAAGTAAAACACTTCCTGTCTGAGATTAGCCCAGAAACAAGTGGTCTGCAGCTGCATCTCACACACACACACTTTTTTTTTGAAGGTGGTGTGACACTCGACTGCACTCTAAAACATAGATCCTGCTGTGTGTGGCCAACGCGTCAGACTGCAGGGGAAGGCGAGAAGAAACCTTGCTGAGCTTTTTATTCTGTGCTGATCATCTTTCTGATCTGAACCCTGTGTCTCCTTCATCACTGCTGAAACCACAAAAGAAGAACTTCATGAACATTTTCCAGACCATGGAGGCTGATTTTCATCGGTAGCTCACCAGCTTCAAAGACCCAGATGCAGCAGGCAGGCAGGAAACACATGTGGAGACTTCTCTTTTAACCCGTTCTTGCACAGTCTCATGAATCTTTCATTCCATTGGGTTTTTTCTGGATGTAAACTCAGTGGTGTTGGTCCACTCTATGCTGGGCTGTTTGCTTCGTGTGTAATTCCTCACTTTCCTCCTTTTGTTTCCAGTATTCTTTAGCGTTTCCTGTTAACATTCACTGCTGCTGTGACTTCAACACTAAGTGGGTTTGTTTGGGTCAAAATAAAGAAAGCGGGTAATTTCTATTGTTCTGAGTTCTTGAATGTGAGTTACACATTTAGTTTCCTGCAGTGAGAAGCAGATTAAAAATGCCCAAAGCTGACTCTTGGTCTTGGCAGTTAAATCAGCAAAATTCAGTCTCAGCAAAAATAACTATGAAGCATTTTTATCATCATCTGTTACTGCTGCAGGTCTACACGTGACTCTTTAATGTGAACGCTCAGGAAATGTTTGGATGTGAAATGCTGCCATCTTGTGGGAAAACACAAAAGCACACATAAAAGCTGCAGTGCCCCGTGTTCAGAGATGATCACATGTCCAAAGCGAGTCCCAAAGAGCTTCTGAACCGGTCAACAACGGTTGACCTGGTGACCCGTAAATGTTTGGTGTGGCAGAGTTCACGAGGTTAGAGGAAGCCCAATGACAGTCAGTGCGTGCTGTTCATCTAATAGATCTTTGCCGCTTTGAGGTGTGTCTCCTGCTGCAGTCTTAATTCTTCTCCACAATGATGCAAAGCAGAGGCCGAATGGCGGCCTGCATCTCCTTCATCTGGGAGGAGCCAATTCACTGTAGAGGACCAACTCCTGTAGCAACCTTACCTCTACCTTACCTCTAACAGAAACATCCTCTGAACTTTGTTTTAGTCATCGTGAACTAGGGCTGTGCGATATGACCAAAATCTCATATCCCGATATAAAACACCTATCGTCCGATAACGATATGAATCACAAAAATTTAACATTATCTGTAAATTCTGTGAATCTCGGGCAGCTGAAGTGTTTCCAGCTGGGCATCGTGTGTCTGGTGTCGAGTGTTTTACCGATGCATGAAACTACACATTTTTAGACATAAGTTGTAACGGCTGCCGTTTTCTTTGCGAGTATTTATTACACAGCATGTTGCGGGGAAAAGCCTGTTCTAATGTTTGAGTCTAAGGTTTATTTTTTAGCACCTGACGGCTCTTTTTTGCTTCTCATCGGTAAATACTCTGCATACTCTTTCACGTGATTCAGTTTATTTTGAAAAGTCTCAACAGGATCTTGAGCTTTATTGTGAAAGGTTTATGTGGAAAATAAACAAGCGGACACGTGATGGCTAACAACAATGCATAAAAACAGGCGCTTGTCCATCCATAGTCTGGTTATAAGAGAAAGAGAGAACTTTAAGAAATTAATATAGCCACTACAGTGACCATCAAAACGATGAAAAAAAAATATTGCCATAAACAGTTTATTTTGAAACACCACGAAACAAACGATAGCATTAAATGAAACATTAGTCGTTTTTATATCATCATCCGATATATATCGTTATATCGAACAGCCCTATCGTTAACCTTTTTTTCTGAGGTAATTGATTTTACTGCACCAGAAAAGCATGAATAGCTTATGTGATAAAGTTTATTTAAAACTGTGTTGAATCAATCAAATGTATAACAGCAACATTTCTCTGTGATCATCACACAAGAAAAATTTGAACTCTGATTTACATGAATCAAAGAAAGAATGAATCAGGCACTTAGCAACAACAAAGAGTTAAAAAAAAAAAAAAAACCCATAGTGATAACAACAATAATAATACTAATAATAAGGTCATTCACAATAACTGAACAGTCAAAACTGGCTCCCAGTTAAAATAACACATGTGACATTATCCCAAAAAAGAAAAAAAGCACAGAATGTTTAAAAATAAGAAATAAATTAGACAAATGTTAGCAGGTTTTTAGACAGTAGCACTAAAATTCAGTGAGCTGCAACATCATTTTGTTCCAAGTTTTGTCATGAGGACCGCTGACTGCTGAATTATGAAGAAATCATAAACAGACAGCCATCCCCTCCATCTTACAGTCTTTATTATTATTATTACAGGAGCAAGAGCTCCAGTGGTTATTCTTTATGTTAATGGTGACAGGTTTAGTTCCTCAGGACACATGAAACCAGTCAGACCTTTGGGGACTGACTGAGGT